CCGGAGGGACTTGAAAAGCGCTCTATAAGTTCAGTACCATTTTTTTTTAAATTAGCTAAATGGCAGCTAAAAGGATCAGAACAGTAACAATTAGCTAATTAGTAGCTAAAAGCAGCAGAACTGTAACAAAGTAGCCAAATGGCAGCTAAAATCAACAGAACTGTTACAAGTAGGTAATTAGTAGCTAAAAGGAGCAGAACTGTAACTAAAAGTAGCTGAATTGCAGCTAAAATCAACAGAGCTGTTACAAGTAGCTAATTAGTAGCTAAAAGTAGCAGAGCTATAACTAAAAGTAGCTTAATGGCAGCTAGAATCAAAACTGTTACAAGTAGCTAAATGTAGCAAAACTATTACTAAAAGTAGCTGAATTGCAGCTAAAATCAGCAGAACTGTTACAAGTAGGTAATTAGTAGCTAAAAGGAGCAGAACTGTAACTAAAATTAGCTGAATGGCAGCTAAAAGCAGCAGAACTGTTACAAGTAGCTAAAAGTAGCAGAACTATAAAAGTAGCTGAATGGCAACTAAAATCAGAACTGTTACAAGTAGCTAATTAGCTAAAAGCAGCAGAACTAAAAGTAGCTGAATGCTTCTAAAAGTAGCTATATGGCAGCTAAAAGGATCAGAAGAGTAACAAGTAGCTAATTAGTAGCTAAAAGCAGCAGAACTGTAAAAGTAGCTAATTAGTAGCTGAAAGTAGCAGAACTATAAAAGTAGCTGAATGGCAGCTAACATCAGAACTGTTACAAGTAGCTAATTAGTAGCTAAAAGGAGCAGAACTATAACTAGAAGTAGCTGAATGGCAGCTAAAATCAGCAGAACTGTTACAAGTAGCTAATTAGTAGCTAAAAGTAGCTGAACTAACTAAAAGTAGCTGAATGGCAGCTAAAATCAGAACTGTTACAAGTAGCTAATTAGTAGCTAAAAGTAGCAGAATTGTAACTAAAAGTAGCTGAATGGCAGCAAAAATCAGAACTGTTACAAGTAGCTAATTAGTAGCTAAAAGTAGCAGAACTAAAAGTAGCTGAATGCTTCTAAAAGTAGCTATACGGCAGCTAAAAAGATCAGAACAGTAACAAGTAGCTAATTAGTAGCTAAAAGCAGCAGAACTGTAACTAAAAGTAGCTGAATGGCAGCTAAAATCAGAACTGTTACAAGTAGCTAATTAGTAGCTAAAATCAACAGAACTGTAAAAGTAGCTAATTAGTAGCTGAATGTAGCAGAACTATAAAAGTAGCTGAATGGCAGCTAAAATCAGAACTGTTACAAGTAGCTAATTAGTAGCTAAAATCAGCAGAACTGTTACAAGTAGCTAATTAGTAGCTAAAAGTAGCAGAACTAACTAAAAGTAGCTGAATGGCAGCTAGAATCAGGCAGGAACTGAAGCAGATTCATGTTTTTCTTTGAGGAAAATCTTTGTAAATAAAGTTGAACGTTTAAAAAGCAGCAGCAGCTGTCGGCTGAATGAGCCGAAGGTTTTTCTGAACAAATAAAAGTTGAAGGTCTGTGAATGTGTCCAGGATCAGAACCCAGACTCTGATCCAGATTTAAACAGTGGAACAAACTGATGTTTAGAAGAGAATCAGACTCATGTTCCTGCAGGTTTTTAACCCTCCACACACACACACACACACACACACACACACACCGAGTCTCCACCCGTCCTGACCGGGTCTGGACCCTCCTGGGACGCCCAGCTGCACATGACGGCACGGCCCAGGAATCCTGGCCCGGCTCCTGTAGTCCCGGCCCGCTCCGCTGAAGACCAGATCTGGAAACAGTTTGTGGAGCTGAATTCCTCCTGCGTTCTGTTCTGGACCCCAAAAGTCCCAGAACACTCAGAACCCCGAGCCGGGTCAGAGGAAACTCTTCCTCCTGCAGGAGTCCCTGACCTGCTGTTAAAGCCTGGAGTCCATAACAACGCTCTGAAACAAACAGGACCCAGCAGAACCAGAACCTTCAGCTGATCCTGGACCTCACTGAGACCCAGCAGAACTAGAACCTTCAGCTGATCCTGGACCTCACTGAGACCCAGCAGAACCAGAACCTTCAGCTAATCCTGGACCTCACTGAGACCCAGCAGAACCAGAACCTTCAGCTGATCCTGGACCTCACTGAGACCCAGCAGAACCAGAACCTTCAGCTAATCCTGGACCTCACTGAGACCAAGCAGAACCAGAAACTTCAGCTGATGGTTCTGGTCCATGCAGCAGATCTTCTGTGAGCCCAGATGTCCTGCAGAGGACTAAGACAACCCAAACTTCTGAAGAAGCTGAAACTCAGCTGGAAGATAAATTGAGCAAAATGCTAATAAAGAGGGGCAAAAAGACCAGCTAAAGGCTAAATGCTAAAAGTAACAAAATTATCTAAAAGATAAATTAGCCAAAGTCTAGCTACATTTAGCAGTGAACTCTGAAATATTCAGCAAGAAGGACTGAAACTGAGAAATATCAGCCGAAGAGCTTCAGGATGTTAGAAAACTGAAGACCAGGACCACTTCTGAAGACTCCAGGAGAGTCCAGATGATTGTTTAGCTGATGATATCAGGTTCTGTTTGGTGATTCAGGTTCTTTAGCTGATGAGGTTTTGTTTGGTGATTCAGGTTCTTTAGCTGATATGAGGTTTTGTTTGGTGATTCAGGTTCTTTAGCTGATATGAGGTTTTGTTTGGTGATTCAGGTTCTTTAGCTGATATGAGGTTTTGTTTGGTGGATCAGGTTCTTTAGCTGATATGAGGTTCTGTTTGGTGGATCGGGTTTTTTAGCTGATATGAGGTTCTGTTTGGATCAGGTTCTTTAGCTGATATGAGGTTCTGTTTGGTGGATCGGGTTTTTTAGCTGATATGAGGTTCTGTTTGGAGGATCGGGTTCTTTAGCTGATATGAGGTTCTGTTTGGTGGATCAGGTTCTTTAGCTGATACGAGGTTCTGTTTGGTGGATCAGATTCTTTAGCTGATATGAGGTTCTGTTTGGTGGATCAGGTTCTTTAGCTGATATGAGGTTCTGTTTGGTGGATCGGGTTCTTTAGCTGTGAGGTTCTGTTTGGTGGATCGGGTTCTTTAGCTGATATGAGGTTCTGTTTGGTGGATCAGGTTCTTTAGCTGATACGAGGTTCTGTTTGGTGGATCAGATTCTTTAGCTGATATGAGGTTCTGTTTGGTGGATCAGGTTCTTTAGCTGATATGAGGTTCTGTTTGGTGGATCAGGTTCTTTAGCTGATATGAGGTTCTGTTCGGTGGTTCTGGAACTTTCAGTGAGGATCTTTATTCAGCTGATTTATTTGGACCATCAGAACCTCTGATCAGAACCGAACCTGTTTCAGAACCAAACGGCTAAAAGTAAAACTTTTTCCAGTTTAAGTTTTTTTCTTGTTTGTTTCAGTCAACGTGCACGCGCGCTGTGGTCTCGCGCCTCCAGCGCGCGCCCAGCTGCAGTTGAGCTCGTGGAAAAGTTCGGACGGTCGGGTTCTGCTCCGGAGGTTCGGTCTGACTGCAGCTCGTCTCCTTCCCGCTCGGCGCGGCTGATTCATCCTTCTGGACCGAACCGGTTCTTCCCGGTACCGCCGGACCGGAACTCCTCCGTCCGTCCCTGAAGCCAGAGTTCGGGTTCGGTTCCGAGCCCACAGCGCAGTGGTTGGAAGTTTTTCATCCCGACCCGGAGGTTCCCGGTCCAGTATGGCGTGGAGGATCCCGGTTCTGCTGTCAATCATCTGTGTCCATCTGGCAGCGGGAGTCCCGGACGGAGCGGATGTCCAAGGTACCAGAACCGAACCAGAACCGAACCAGAACCTTCAGAGAGAACTGAGGGAAGGTTCTGGTTCTGAAGGACTTATCCAGCCCGGTTCAATAATTAAATTATTTTAAAAAGTGTTTTTGAAAGTTCTGACCCAACAGGTTCTGATTAAACCAGACTGTTCAGGAACTTAAATGGAACCGAACCGAACCGAACCGGACCGGACCGGACCGGATCAGTAACAGAATCTAAGGATGAATTATGATGAAACTGATTGAATGAAGTGGTTTTCAGGACTTTCTTGTACAAATCAGAACCACGGTTCCGGTTCTTGTCCCTGACCCGGTCTGACCCATCCTCTGAGTGTGATCAGAATCTGGTCGGAACCACAGAGTTCTGAGGGTCCAGTGTGGTTCAGAAACGAGCTGGTCTCACGCAGACATCTGATCCTCTGAGGTTCTGCAGAACAGAACCAGAGGAGGAGCCGGTTCTGAGCCGGTCCGGTTCCTGCTGGTCCAAACCATGAGCCTCCCTCCTCCGTGCCTCACAGCAGTTTGTGTCTGTTAGCAAAATATCATCAGTTTGTTGACAAATATTCAAGATGGCCGCCGCAGCTAAAGGCGACCTGCGGTCCTGAGGACCGGTCCGATCAGGTCCAGGTTCTGTGGACTGGTCTCAGAACCTGAGGCGGTCCTGGTCTGTCAGTCTGGGTTTATGTTAACTGGGGGGGGGG